AACATATTTTTTTTAATCTGGGAAAGATGCTATATTAAGTTATTGCCATTCATTAACAAACCAATAGAGCTAGTGTGGCCCTAATGCCTGGCACAGTGCTGGCCATGAGAGGGCACTCAAATATTTGATGGATTATAAACAGTATGCATTTCCCGGGAGTGTGCGCCTCAGTATTTTCCACCTGGATATACCTCAGGATTTGGGAGTCCAGGATCCAACAAATAATGTTCCACACCATCACAACGACCAGAATAAGGCACAAGTCAGATTGTGAAAGCTCCATAAGGTAATGTAGGAGAAAAGGAAGAAAAACTAATATTAATTGGGGTAAATTCAGCTTTTTCTGGGAAGATGTAGTTCTTATGCCTGTTTAAAGAGTGCACTGGATTTCAGCTTAGAGAAAGGAGAAGATGACATGAAGAAAGAGGAATAATACAAACAAAAGATTAAATTTAAAGGCATTACACCTATTGCAAGATCATGGAAACAACCCAAGTGTCCGTCAGTGCACGAGTGGATAACTAAAATTTAGTATATGCTCACAATGGAATACTATTCAATTCTAAGAAATGACAGTGAATTAGCACCATTTATGCTATCCTATATTAAGCTTAAACCCATTATCCAAAGTGAGGTGACACAAGATCAAGAAAACGGGCTCCATATCTACTCGCCATCAAATTGGTACTGACTAAAACTATGGTGCTCAAATGGGGATAGTGCCCACTAGGGTTTGGGGGAGGGGGAGATACACATCTTAGAGTTGTGGTGAGCACAGTGGGGGGGGGAGAGGAAATACATCTAAACCTTCCAAGGGAAAGGCTAAGATATACAATGTAACCCAAAGGTCAAAAAAAAAAAAAAAAAAAACAAACAAACAAACTTTTATCAGGTGGTGGGCAAATGGGAGGGGGGAGGAGGGGAAGAATTTACACTTACAAAATAGGGCGATGAGCACCACTTGAGAGTAGGATATGCTTGATGTTTTGGTAAGGTGGGGGGGTGGGCGTGGGGAGGAATGGCAGGGGCAATATATGTAACCCTAACAATATTTGTACCCCCATAATATGAAAAAATAAAAAATTAAAAAAAAAACATAAAGGCATTATACCACTGAAGTGAGAGGGTTCAACAGTGAATTGTGGGAGAGAAAAATGAGAAAGTTGGGGCTATATATTAGAAATTTGGGGATGGCAGGATAAAGTGTCTGAACATATCTCATTACATAATGGGAGTCATGAAAGCTTCTAGACCAGGGCAATGACATTGATCAGTGACACGATCTCTGGGAAAATGTGTGTTGCCCTGATATTTAAAATGGGTTCCAGCAGAGAGACTGAAAATGAGAAAACCTGTTAAAAGGCTGTAACAATTTGAATGGTAGCATTGGATGCTTAAGATATAGTTTTGTCAGGAGAAGATGAAATGAAGATATTCCTGTCAGAGAGATATACCAGAGGCTGAATCATGTGGATGTGTGGGATGATAAAAAGAGAGATTTTAGGGAAGCAAATAATGTGACTGATATTCAGGGAGAGGGAAATATTAGGAGGAGAAACTGAGCTTGGAAGGAGAAGCACTAAGTCCTGTTACAGGCAGGTGGTTTGAGTTGTCTGAAGCACATCCAGATGGAGATGTCCTACAGGCAGTTGGAAATGAAGATTCAACTTTGGGGAGAGGGGACTGGACCATGTAATCATCCCCTCTAGAGATAATAATTTAAACCATGTGGAAGAGTTCAGTAAGAGAAAAATAGAGAGATCAAGGAACAAAGAGAAAAGGCAGAAACTTGAAGAACATCTACCTTCTGGGGTCAGACAGAGGAACAAGAAAACAAAGGAGTTTTGTCAGGTGGTTGCAAAAGAGACTGAGCACCTGCTCCATTGTGTTAGAAGTTCAAGTTCCTAAGAATAGTATAAATAAATGCATCTATTTATCTTCCAGCATGATTCTTCCTGCATGATCGAGAATGTCTTCCTAATGTCACCCACAACATCCATTTATTATGGCTGTTTATTATTCATTTTGAAGCAACAGCATTCCTAGCACTTGCTTAAACACTTAGGAAGACAGACATTCTGCTGTAACAGATGCTGGGTAAAGGTAGACAAAGGTGTACCCTGCAAACTTCAAATCAAGATTTAAGATCTGGGCTTAAAGACATAAAATTCCTTTGTGTGAATTTTTCCCTCCCTCCAAAGAATTTTTTGGAAGAAATTTCATTGGTGTTTATTTACAGTGAAAAGAATTTTCTACATGAATTGTGGAATGCTGTTGATTTTTTTTATTAACGTTTTTATACCAGTCTGCACTTTAGTGTCTGCATGAGATCAATAGCTGATAAGCAGTCAGAGTTTCCAAAAGAGAGTGGAACCTATGAGTAAAAGGTGGACATGGTGGAATAGGCAAGATTCAAAATAATTCCAATTTTGATATGCCCAAGGACTTGTCTTTCTAGAAGTTGCTACTTTTACCTTTTCTTAATCTTCTGCTTGATAAATGGCTTCAAAGTTAAGGGCATCAAAAGTATCCCCATGCAGCCAACAAACCTTATTTTATGTTCCTTAGACCAGTGGTTCTCAGAGTCTGGTCTCACTGCCTGCAGCATCAGCCTCACCTGGGAACTTGTTAGATGTGCAAATTTTCCAGCCCCACCCCAGACTTAGTGATAAAAAGCTTTGGAAGTGGGCCCAACAATCTGTGTTTTAATACCCACTCCTCCTGGTGAGCCATTGCCCAGTGATAAAAATTCCAAGGAGTGTTGCATCACCCACGGGACAGAAACTTCAATCCTAAACCTCATCAGTTCATACCTTTTACAGATGAGAAAACTGGTCTTGCTGGTGTATCCCATAGCTCTCTCCACTTAGATCCTGTCTTGTGTTTGCCAATAAAAGGGCTACAAAACAGTGATCATTAAAAAGATACAAGGCTGATAAATAAAAAATGGGTGCGATTATGGTTTAAGTTAATAACACAAGAGAGTAAAAGTTGTGGGAAGATAAATGTTAAAATAATAAAATTAGGTAAATATTTAGAATAGGTAAAAAATATTACCACTCATATTAGGAAATGTTAATGAAAACTTATGATCATAAAATACAGTCACACATCCCTTAGCAATGGGGATATGTTCTGAGAAATGTGTTCTTAGGCAATTTTGTCATTGTGTGAAGATCACAGTACACCTACACAAAGCTGGATGGTATAGCCTACTACACACCTAGGCTATATATATAATATACCCTACTTCCCCTAGGCTACATGTACAGAATGTTATTGTACTGAATACAATTGTAATTATAAGCAATTGTAACACAATGGCAAGTATTTGTATACCTAAACATATATGCACATAGAAAAGATACAGTAAAAATACAGCATAAAAGTTAATAAGTGGTACACCTGTACAGGGCACTTAGCATGAACGGAGCTTGCAAAACCAGAAGTTGCTCTGGGTAAATCAGTGAGTGAATGGTGAGTGAATGTAAAGGTCTAGAACATTGTTGTACACTACTGTAGACTTTATAAACACTGTATACTTAGGCTACACTAAATTTATTAAAAAATATTTTTCTTTCTTCAATAAATTAACTTTCTGTAACTTTTTCACTTTAAACTTTTTGACTCTTGTAATAATACTTAGCTTAAAACACAAATACATCGTACAGCTATACAAAAATATTCTTTATGTCCTTATTGCATGAGGTTTTTCTATTTTTTAAATTTTTACTTTACTTTTTAAACTTTTTTTGTTAAAAACTAACACACACACACACACACTTTAGCCTAGACCTCACAGGGTTAGGATCATTAACAACTGTCTTCCACCTCTACTTCTTGTCCCACTGGAGGGTCTTAGGAAATCTCAGCAGAGGCTTCCTATTGCTAGTATAAGACAGGAGCTTTCCAATGGCCATTGACATAGCAACAAACCTTGACTTTCTCAGAAAAAACTCAAGCTAGAAAATAACGGCCCAGGACTGACTGAATCAACTTCGAAGGGATCCAATAAGATCCATGTGCCAACCACAAATCAAATGGTTGATAACCGAGAATCCACAAAATTGGCTGATCTGAGACTGCATTCTTTTTCTTTCAAGTCTAGCAAGTAAACAATGAGAAGTATAAAAAACAATAAAAGTATACAAGAACTTTATAAATAATGAGGACATGAATCAAACCCATAATATAAATAGCTCTAATAGTTTAAGTGTAGGTATAAAAACTTTGAATCCCATTGTGATTTGTATATATGCTTGTATGCATGTGCTATCTATTTTTAAAGTACAGAAAGGTTTTTAATGAAATTCATAGACATTTTATTAAAATCTTCAGGAGAATTTTCCCAATTAAATTTGTAATCAGGACATAAATATTTAAGATGGTTCCATTCATAAAGTATGTTTTGATTTATTAGTGGCAAACACATTTGAATATTTAGGGAAAAAAATTTAAAATGACTAAAATGTCAACATTAATTAGCTGGGCATGGTAGCATATGCCTGTAGTCCCAGCTTCTCAGGAGGCCAGGATAGGAAGATCATTTGAGCCCAGGAGTTTGAGGCTGCAGTGAGCTATGATGACACTACTGCACTCTAGCCTAGGCAACAGAGTGAGATCCTATCTCCAAATAAATAAATAAAGCTTTAAAAATAATACAAGTATTTAAAAGTTTCCAATAACAGGGTTTCCCTACATATTAATAAAAAAGTCCTTGGTCATTAAATATTCTAAGAACAATGCTATTCTTTGATTTTTTTCCTAATAGGAATCTTGCCCCTCAACATCTAAGCATGCATCGAAGGAGGGGGCTTTGATTTCTCCTTCCTTCCTCCAGTAAACACAGGGCTGGGTGCGTACTCCTGATAGCTTAAACTGAAATTCACAAGGAAATCTATAAAATATATAGTTTCCATTTTCTACTTTAATTGAGTAAAGATGGATTACCTAACATGACAAAAGCTGTCCTCAGCCACATACTAAAAACAAAATGCATAAAATACAGCCCCATCCTCTAAGACCTTAGTGAAGAGTGAAAAGAGATAAGGCAGACTGATACATACTATAATTTCTTTTACATCTCCAATAAAACATAGACTCTTTTACCAAGAACTCCATGGAGAAAACATGTTTCTTTGTGTGTCTCTTCCTAACACAAAAGTAAATTTGGTGTGTGATGTCTACAACAAAGCTTCAATCACATTTTCTTACTATACAGGGTTGACATTTTCAACGTTTGTCTTTAAAAGCAGTAGTGGGTCACTCTGACATGCTTTTTAGAGCATAACTTGAACTTAGAGAATTGGTTCTAGTTGATAATAATAATGGCAAAAATGGAATCCCATTTACAAAACTGCCAAACCAGAAAAAGTAAACCTCTTGTATTACAGCCCTGATCAATGTGTTAGCTACTCTACACAATATTCAATATTCCCACAAAAATGTCCCACTCAACAAAGGCTTGCAGATAGATAGTATCTTAGAGTCTCCTGTAATGGGATTTGACAAGAGCAGACACTTTAGGCAAGCTCAATCAATGTTAATTGAAGCAGGAGTGATTCAAAGGCAAATAGGAGTCCTTGACAGGCGAGAAAGTGGCTTTGGGATTGTGACTCTCTCCTTTTCCCATTACCCCCTTATATTTAATTACTTGTTCTAGCCATGAATTGTAATTTGATTTGCCATCGGGCAACTCTTGCCTGGTATTATGTTAGTTGAGTCTTTCACTTAAAGGAAAAATATCTCATAACTTGTGGAGGTACCTGTTTCACAGGAAGGAAATCGTCCTCTGGCAACTGGGTCTCAGGTTTAGAAGGTTGCCTTTTCTGTCCTTAACACAGCAGAGTATCAGCAGAAGGACAAAGAAACCCTTTAGTCTTAAATGATGCTGTTGTATTTTCTCTGGTGCATTGCTATTTCTACAATTGATCAGCACCAGAATTTTGAATTAGCTTGGGCTCCAGACCCTAAGAACTTATGTACAAATAAACTATCTATTGGGGAGGGGACTCTATGAAACAGTGGTTCAGAAGTAAGAGCAGTGTGAGACAAGGAAGGAAAGGCAGCCAACAAAAATGGGTTAACAAACTAGTTACCACCAATGGGCAACTGGAGCGTAACTTCACCAGAGAACTCAGAGCCAGTGTAGATCATGCTTCCATCAGCCACCCAACAGGTGAGGGAGCCAGGGCATTATATGCTCTCTTTTGTCACTGGGGAATTCTCATGTGGGGAGGGGAATGAACGTCTTAGCACTTCTGGCCTGTGATGTACAAAGAACAACAACAAGAATACTAGTTTTTAAAATAAAATCTTTACTTTTCATGTCAGTTGGCACACATTTGCAAAGAGCCTAGACAATAATTATGGGAAGCAGGCAGGGGAGGATGAAATTTATAGCCCCAAATTATACATAAGGACAATGAAATTCCAAAGGTGAGGTTCAAAGTGACAAGCCACTAAACAATCAGACAGCAACTGGAGCCCCAGTGAGGAAATTGCTGAGCATGGTGAAGTGTCCAAGCTCTAGAGTCAGGCAGACCTGGTTCATCCCAGCTATGCCTCTCACCTGGGTGGCCTGGCCCAGAAACTGAGGCACTCTGTTACAGGTAAGGAGGGTAATGAGAGTACCTACCTCATGTGACTATTGTGATGATTAAATGAGCCAGGGCTTTTAAAGTGCTTTGCCTAGTGCCCAGCATACAGTAAGAGCTCAATAACTATTAACTTGCTGTTGCAATTATTATTGCCATTTTAATGAATTCAGTGTAGAAAGTAGAAAATTCTCTTTCTACTATGCATGTCTTGAAGTCCAGGGAATGTTGTCTGTGAGACTGTAATATGTACCACGGCAATCAGAGAACAACTGTTTCATCTGCCCCCTAGTATAAAATGAATCATCTTAGCTCTTGTCTTTGCTTCACATTGTAGTCAACCCCAAATTTCAGGTGTGGTGGTAGAGCATGCTGGGTTTTCTTAAAACTGCTTTTCACTAAAGTGACAGATGAGATCTGATGAGGCCTCCCATGGGCTGAATTATTCCCTTCCGTGAATGAGACCTCCGTGTCAGTATTTCAAGGAATACCCACCCCCCCTTGAGGACATGGGCCTGATGTTGCAAGCATGTGGGAAAGATGATGTCTCTTACAGTCACATGCATGGTAAATCACTTTCTGAGAAAGGGATAGCGTCATCTCTGTGAAGGAGGTAAAACATCTTCCCTATTTTCCAGAAGGAGGAATTAAAGAATTGAGGTTTTGGCTATGTGGCCAAGGTGTGGAGGAGCAGATTCTCCTCTCCTGACTTCTGTCCGATGAACTTTTACATTTCTTTCTGGTAGCTTTAAGCAAGGAGGCCTAAGAAGCTACTCAGAGGTTGCTCAGTGTTCTCAATTAAAGGCCAACTACAAGGAATTTGAAAGTTCATTAATTTCTTTATTAAAAAAATAAAATAACCACATATTGAGGGTTGCCACATCCCAATCAGTTTGCAATGTGTAAAGTACCAGCCATGTGATGTCCTTTTATAGGCACTTATCTATCACCATAACTATAGGAAGTATCTAGCCCTATTTTGTATATGAGGACATTAAGGTTCAGAGAGTTTGTGGCTTGTCCTAGGGTCCCACAGAAATACATGGAGATTCTACAGTTAGAGCAGGATGGCAGATGACAGCACATCTGCTTAACAGGGTTGGGCCATGACTAGAGATTTCTAAGGTTCACTATAACAAGAAAAGTAGAGAAGTGAACCATATGACTCAGATCCCGTGTGTAGACCATGGACAGCTCTAGTGCCATTTCTGAGAGAGAAGTAATGCTGGATCCAGCTGAGATCTCTGGCAGGTCAAACACTCACAGGTCTACATTGGACTTTCTTACAAAGCCATTAGGACACAGTTTTGCAGGAAATTGACAGAGACCTTATGGCTGAGTCAACTGATGGTGTTTTGTTGCAAGGCAGGCACAGGTACAGATGTCAGAAATACCACAATTTCCATAAACCCAATCACAGAAGCATGCCTTGTTCTTTAACTCTTCCAAAATGGGCAGATCCAGACAGACAGACCTGGACAACACTGCTGATGAGGTCAGTTGGTCTCCAATTCCCACTTTGTCTTAGAAAATGACATTTTGAAACTATCCACTTACTGTTGATTACCTTACATTTAGGGTATTTGAAGGCACTTTTGTTATTTACAATTTCTTCACCATTCTAGCTACAGGATCAAACAGGAATTAAATTTCAACCTACAAGGTTTGTGTTTCTTTGCAGTGTAACACATATATCAAATAGTGTGCAAGAGCCCCAGGTATAATGTATGTTTGATTATATTTCAACTCCAAGCGATACCACATTGAGATCACTTCAGTAGCTAAGCAAATGTGACTTGGGCCATTACCTGGATCCAAACAAAAAAAAAAAAAAGGAAGGAAGTATATTTTAATCTACAGATTAGTACTATACACATCAAACCACACAGCCCCATTTACTAGGTAACCTGGGATTGCCATTAAGAAAATCTCTAGGAACAGATTTTGTTCATAAACAAGGCTAATTTCAGCATAGAATTATACTTTTTAAAGCAATTTCTTTTTTATAATTCCCAGGGCCAAGAAAAGAAAAAGAACAGGCAGGGGAAAAAAAAACAAAAGAGTCAACCAGTCTCAGAACTGTGTGTTACATAGACAATAGCAAAGGAAAAACAGTCCAGTCCAAAACTATAGCTCAGAGAACTTTGGTCTGAAGGGGTGCAGGGCTTGAGTCCCACTTGAGGTACTTCTTGATTCCAGCTACTATGATTCTGTCCTGTGGATCACAGCATCTTCCTCACTATCCTTCAGTGGCTCCCTGGGACATCTGAGAAGTGGTCTGTCCTCTGGTCAAAAGGTAGGGCCTGTGGAAGGACATACAGGAAAAAGCCCATCAGGCGTGGGCCCAAACCATCTGACAGCTAAAGGCTGATGGAGTGAAGGGGCAGAGGGAAGAGTGGGTGGTTCCTCACCTCCTACCAGCTCACTTCCCGCCGTCTCTCCAGAAGGGTGGCATTTGACTGGGAACAGCCGGTGGCTTGGAACCTTTGGGATCTTGCAATGAGCTCACTGTGGTTTCCATCACTTCCCAGTCCATGGTATCTCTGTTGGCAAGAACATAAAATAAATGCCCTGGTATCAGCGGTCTCTGGAATCTTGAGGAGGAGACACAATGGAGCAATGCAGACACAAAGAAAGGAGGGAAAGGAGGACAAGAGGGGATAAAACTCAGAAAGGATACTCTACCTGCCACCTTTCCCTGGAATTCCCCTAGGCAGTCGTATCCTGGACTGGAGGCTCCAAGTGATTTCTAAGACCGCCCAGAGGTCTCAAAGGTTTGAAAGGTCAGGAGGCATCATTCCACTGCCATGCGAGCACCTGAACTCAAAACTCAGCTCCTTGAGAACCTCAGCCAGCCTCGCCCCAACTCTCTCGAGTGGATCGTGTCACGAAATACTACATAACAGAGAGCAAAACGCAGGTGAAAATTAGCAGGAGGTCCTCCTTGTTCCTTTGCCCTGGGGTGTAGGCAGCGAAAGGCCAAGGGGATGGGATAAGGGTGGGTGTATCAACCATGTGGTCTTCTCTTCAGGGATTCAACGTTCAAGTCAGCCCACTCACAACTTCCCACTAAATGACAAAAGCTCCTAGAAGGTTCCTCAGTCCCATGGTCCTTGCCCTTGAGTTCAATCTAGCATTGCTTGTTAACTCTAGGGCATCACTTAGATCCTAGGGAAAGTTTCTATCTCAGCCAGTTTTCCCACCTAGGAAAGAACTCCAGACCCAGAGCATGAGAGGCAGCTGGCTCTACTCATGACCCTTTTCCAAAGCTTACAGAAAAGCCCAGGCCTACCTCTTTGTCCCTCACAGAATGTGTCTCCCCAGAACACAGGGTAGGGAGCACATGGTGAAAAAAACAGGCTGGGAATCACAGAAGTTGGAGTGCTGCCAAGAAAGGTGTATGGAGAAAGGCATTCGAGAGAAACTTATTCAAACAAAGCCAGTTACCATTGGCATAACAAAGAGGCTGAGGGAGTGGTTTGTCCTGGATACATATAATAAAAGCAGGTGCATTATCTGTAGATAATTTAAAAGCAATATAAAACTAATAGTCAGTCTGCTTTTTACTAGACCATGTGCTGGCAATTCTAAACAGTACTGGTGACTAAATATTGCTTCCTCACCCAGGCAACTCCCCCTCCTCAGTCCATCACTGCTAACTTCACCCAGTATCTGGGTTCTGCCAGAGCCTTTGCTTGGGCTTTTCCCTCTGCCTTATGGAATCTTCTACCCCTGGGGCCCACATCCTCCTCACTTTCAGGCCCTATTTGAGATGCTCCTTCTTCAATGAAGCCTCTCATAATCCTGGCGAGGAGTAATCCCTTCCTCCTTTGAACCCCCAGGGCAATGTATCTATATTCTTTTATTTATACCTTATATTTAAAATGCAAATGTGTTACTTTCCCTGTTAACAAACATTAAGATGCAATGAAAAGTGTACAAGATTTGGAAGTAGGACTGGGTTAGAATCTCAGTTCTCACCCTGAACTAGCTGTGCTATGCTGGGCTAGTCATTAAACCTCTTTAGCTTTTTCCACTTCTATAAAACAGGGAGATTATCACCTATCTCACAGAGTTGTTGCTTGGAATGAAATAATGCACACAAAATTATCTAGCCTAAGATAATATACCTTCTACATTTATTTGTTTCTCTACCCTCTGCCTTAAGGGAAAATACCTAAGGCAGAGTGTTTGGAAAATCATATGTTAGCACTAAGAGACTGTTATGGTTTAGATGTTGGTCCCCTCCAAATCTCAGGTTGAAATTTGATCCCCAATGTTGGAGGTGGGGGTTTAGTGGGAGGTGTCTGGGTCATGGAGGTGGATCCCTCCTGAATAGATCAATGGACTCCCTCAAGGTATGTGAGTTCCCAGTCTATTACTCCCTGTAGCATCTGGTTATAAAAAAGAACCTGGCATCTCCCCCTCTCTCTTGTTTCCTTTCTTACCATGTGATCTCTGAACATGCCAGCTTCCCCAGCCAGACGCCCAATCTTGAACCTTCCAGTCATCAGACTCATGAGCCAAATAAACATTTTTTTCTTTATAAAATTATCTAGCCTCAGGTATTCCTTGATAGTCACACGAAACAGACTAAGACACACACTCTTCCCCCCTTTAGGTAACACAAATTGAGAACTCACAATGTGTCAGGCACCATGCTAATAACTTCACAAATAGTGTCTCACTTAATCCTCACCTGAACACTATGGGGTGCTCTCTTGACTATCCTGTTTTACAGATGCAGCAACTGAGGCACAGAGAGGTTAAGTAACCTGCCTGTGGATGTACAACTAGTAAGGTGCTGAGCTAGGTTTGGAAACTAGGTTTCTGAGTTACTCTTTGTTCCCTCACTATTGATTTATTGCAGAACTTTCTGTGACGACAGAAATGTTCTGTGCTGTCTAATATAAAAATCACTAAACACATGTATCTGTTGAGCTCTTGAAATGAAGCTACTGTGACTGAGGAACTAAATTTTATATTTTACTTAATCTTAATTAAAGTTTAAATAGCCATATGTGTCTAGTGGCTACCATATTGGACAGTGCAGGATTACTGTATCTTAGAGACCATTTCTAGCAGGCCCCTAGTTTTGCTGTTGGAGATCACAGGATTTGTCCTACACATGAAGTCAGGGAAGAATCTTAGAGTGGGGAACAGGGCAGTGCTAATAACAGAACACAAGAGCATAGGCTCTGGAGCAAGAGATGCTCATGTTTGAAGTCCAGGTCCTATTGCTCATTGGCTGGGCCCACAGCACATTAATTAAATTTCCTGTGCATCTGATCTCTTTTCTGTTAAGAAGTTATAATAATGCCACTTCTAGGGTCAACATGATTACCAAGTAACACATCATATGAAATAGAGTGATTAGTACACACCTGGTGCAATTTGAAGTGAAGCTGTAGACACATAACTTATGTGAATTCCTTTCTCTCTAATTGGTGAGAGTGCAAGAGAAGAGAGGAGAGAAGCCAATAATATTGGGGGTGGGGGGAGATGGTTTTCCACCTGCATTTCACTCACCATGCATATGTATATCACAGACTGAGCATGAAATAGGAGACAAATCTGTTTTACTATCCCAACAGGCTCTCAAGCTTGGTGAATAATTCCAGTGTTTATTTGTGAGATTCTCGTGATGCCTGGACTTTAGTATCCAACTATCTGAGCACCTCCCAACCAAGGAAGGGTCCTTAAGGTTATTGCCCCGCACCAAGTTCCTAACACAGTCTATTGTTATGATTACTTTTATAATTGAGTAGCAACCCTCATTATCTCAGCCACGTTTTATATGTACAGGGTTTCCCAAAAGTCACCATACACAGAGAAAATGGGAAATTGTTACTAAATGTACCTTTATTTACAAAATATCCATCACAACATTTTACAAAATTTTTCCTTTGATGTAAAGGGGACCAGCCACAGAGTTCCACCCCCCCACACACACACACACCTAACCCCCTACCCCTGCTATGGAAAAATTGTCTTCCATGAAACTTAGGAAGGAGGGAGGGGGTGCTGAAAGCAGGAGGTGAGTGGTGGGGGGAAAAGCAAAGCTTCATCTGTATTTACACCCACTCCCCATCACTATTGAGCTCCAACCTTCATCCTCCACCCCATCCCCTCCCCACTGTCTTCCATGAAACCTGTCCCTTGGTACCAAAAAGGCTGGGGACCAACTATTGCTGCAAACCACACCTCTCCTGAGCCTGCCAGCGCCCAGTTAGGGTCAGCTAGAAGGGGGTACCAGAGTGTGTCTAGAGGCGAGAAAAGAACAGGGCTTGTTATTTGTTTCCTATTCATCAGCATGGCCCAGGCAATACTTCCTCCCTGGAAACAGCAATTGGTTCTAGAAAGTTTAAGTGATTCTACTTCCCAGTTTCTCTCAATCCCCAGCATCAGTTCTATTGTACCTTCTTCAGAGACGCCAGCACAGCCAGCCTTCCAGTACCCTTTCCTAAAACAGCTGGGTTGTCCTCCTCTGCAGGACCCCTCATTCAACCTTTTAAGTTTTAATCAAACTAATTTCTCCCCTAAGAAACTGCTTAGAGAAGCTTAGGTATAGCTGCTTGCCATAGTTTACTACTGTGAACCTCGGTATCTCTTTGTACCTCTTGGGTCATCCAGTATCTGGTTACAATTCTCTATATTGATTCTTTCTGTTAAAGTAATTAATGTAGCTTCTGTCTCCTAACTAGATCAAGTCTGATCTACCTTCCCTTCCCTCTTCCATAGACCCTCTATGCTACTGAGTACATAAAAATGCATGCAAGCATCACAGTATTGCCCTGTGTTCATTCCTAGACAAATGCTGTCAATAAATTATCAACATACCCTGACATTTCTGTTCTAGATCTTCTCAACTTCACATCTAAAGACAGGATAGGAAAAAAAGGAAAAGAGCACATCAGAGAGTATGATTTGATATACTGAAGAGTGACCAACCCCTGATCTGCACTCTCAGGGAGCTAAAACCTGGACACATCTGCCAGGGCAGCTGAAAGGTAAAACACACAGACATTTCCATTAACAAAGATCGACATGCAAGAGTCCTTGCAGAGGGCATTTGCTGAAGGTAGGGTGCAGGCCTTCTGTACCAAGATGTCAACAACTAACCAGTGTCAGATAATAAGAGCCCTCTGGGTTGTTTCAGCCTTTAATAGTCTTAATTTCCCCATCTTCCAACTCCCCTGAGAAGATACATACAGCAATCCCACTACTGGGCATCTACCCAAAAGATCAAAGAAGACACCTGCACTTGAATGTTTATAGCAGCACAATTCACAATTGCAAAGCTGTGGAAACAACCCAAGTGACCACCAATTCATGAGTGGATTAATAAAATGTGGTATATGTATACCATGGAGTACTACTCAGCTTTAAGAAATAATAGTGATATAGCACCTCTTGTATATTCCTGGATAGAGCTGGAACCCATTCTACTCAGTGAAGTATCTCAAGAATGGAAAAACAAGCACCACATGTACTCATGAGCAAGTTGGTATTAACAGATCAATACCTATGTGGACATATAGGAATAACATTTATTGGGTGCCGGGCAGGTGGGAGGGGGAGGAGGAGATGGGTATATACAAACACAACGAGTAAGATATACAATGTTTGGGGGATGGACACGCTTGAAGCTCTGACTCCAGGGAGGAAGAGGGCATGGGCAATATATGTAACCTCAACACCTGTATCCCCATAATATGCTAAATAAAAAAAAGAAGATACACACACACAATATAATGCAAGAGGAGGTTATATTATATCAGATCCACATTAGAGGTACTGATCACAAACACCCCCATGTCCCTGGCCCCAGTGCTGTCAGTCTCATCCTTCATAAACACAGTGGGAGACCTAGGATAAAACCTCCAGTGCTTGTTGGCCACCTCTCCAACCTAGGTGAGTTGAAGAAAGGACATGATAACCCATGGCATCCCAATAACAATCAGCTCTCATTCTTCTGAAATGATTCCTGGGATGCATCAGGACTTTGTGCAACAGATAAAGTGACTGTTCTCCATAATCCACAGTGTGGTTAACCCACCCACTATCCTCAATATGATTTGCAGCTGAGATAATGTCTAGTGGCTCATGAAGCATCCTAACTCGAGCAGACATCACAATCTGGATCCTCACACCACGAATTGCCCTCCATCTTCAATCTGGTAGGCGGACCTTCCTCCCTATGCCGTTTGAGCAATATGCTTTTGAGAAACCAGCATACGGGAGTCTGTGGGTTCTGGCTTGAATGTCACCACCACTGCTTTTGCAACTTCATAAACAGTGGCTTTCTCAATGTTCAAAATCCCTCTCTCCTCTCCTTTCCAAACCACTGCTCTCATTAATACCTGTAAGTGTAGCAGAGAATATCGGTGCCTCACCACAACCCTCGGGTCTTACCAAGGCCAAACTCTACCATTAACTGCATCTCTTTGTATAAGGGGTTTTTCCACTCCCCACCTCTCCCAAGACTACTGTGTCTGGGCATGGTAGTCCAAGAATATCTATCTGGGTATTAACTCATCTTGAAAGGAATCATCAACCAGTGACTGACAGGGGGCCAAGGCATAATTTTGAGCAAATGTTCTAAACTGTTTCCCAGAATTTTTCCATAGGCTTCAGCTCCAGCTGTCCATAGTCATAGCTGGCTCAATACCATGCCCTTTATTGGTTGCCTTCCTTTCCCTCTCCTCTTGTTTCCTATAGTTTCCCAATAAATTACATGCTCTCAAATCCTTGTCTCAGGGTCATTCTAGGGGACTAAAACTAAGACAATAGAAAACTGTGTTTTTCTAACCTGTGTCATTTCAGAAATGCTTTAACTTTATGTATATATAGATATACGTATACATAAATATGTATTTCTAGGCCATGCCAACTGAATTTATAAACATATATATATATATATATCCACCTGACATTTGAGTTTTCATATATTTTGCTATGTGCTGGTTCTGTCTCTCCTAAAAGCCGAGAGATGCCAAAAGGCCAGTAGTGCATCACTCACTTCTTCTATAATTTTCCACAATGTGTGGTGTGACGCTCTGCAGAGTGAATATTCATTCACTCAGGGCTGATAGACAAGAGGCCACAGAGGTCAGGTCTGTTTTCCCCATGGGCTTGTCAAGAGTAAGAAAGCTCCTAAGAGAAAGAAATAGTTATGTTGTTTTCAACCCTCTGAAGGATGAGCCCAGAAGCCCAGAATGGAAGCTGGCACTGAGACAGGGCACCACATCAGGGCCTGAGTCACGTGGCACATGCCACACACTCCAGGCCAGGAGGGTGTAAAATGCTACATAATCAGATATGTTTTCTTAGCCTGTTTCTGGGTAACAGCCCAGTTGAAGGTAAACTGAGCAACATAAGGTAGACAGTCCAATGTGGGGCCCATCACCAAGAGATCTTTCCTGAAAACCTTGAGCCTTTGCTACAAATCAGTAGCCATCTGACTTACTAAGCACCTCAATGTGCATCACAGAACAGGGTGCTGATAGGTGAGGGCGCAAAACAGGTAAAGGGGAGGTCCTACCTTGACTCATACTCCAAAAGTGAAAGGTTTGTGGGACATTTAAAAGGGGCAGATGATGAGGAATACCAATACTGCTAGCTACAAACTTGTCTTAGCTTAGGGCTCTCATTGCTCTTCTGTGCCAGGAGGCCTTTTTCCACTTGCCTGTTTCCCTTCCTAACTAAAGACTGGTTTATCAGACATTCTATAACTGGAACCTTTATTAACTAGCTCCCCAAGGACACAAAGATTCTAAAGGACCTTCTGAATCAAAGAAAGGTGAAATGACAATCAGTGTTATTTCAGAGCTGAGTATTTTGTTGTATTATTTCTAAGCCTTTTACAACTGACAATCCAGACAAGGTATTGATTAAACAGATCACTCTACAACCTCAACCTGGCTGCTAACAGAGTTTACGGCAATATAGTTTTGGCCCTTCCCAGTTGAGCCTACTGCCTCAAAAGCAAATGGGCACGAACACCTTAATGTACTCAGCACCTCACAGAAACCTTGCCTAGCTTCAGGTGCATGGGGCAGCCTGCCCACAGAATGCAGCCTCCTGAAAGCCATGGGATTCTAAAAAGAGCATTTCCAAGGCTTTGAGGAAAGCACACCGACATATGGCTCTATATAAATCCTGCTGACTGAGGAAACTTTAGATTCTATAGAAACTTTCTAAAAATAATTCTAATTTGAATAGAAAGTCCAGTCCTTTACAGAGCCCAGACTGTTTTGTTCCCCCTGTCACATGGGAACTTGACGAGGCCACAACAATGACAAGCAGACAGAGCAATGCGTAATTCATCCAGAAATAAATTGCAAACTGAATTACAAACAGCTGTCACGATGGCCAGGATAAAAGCCAGAATGAAGAAGGGCATGGAAGAGAACCATAAGGACAACCAGAGATCTCTAAGCACCAACTATGAAGGCTCCCATAACACATCCCATGATCTTCCTCTAACTTCCACCTCCATTCATACAGCAATACTTCATCTGACAGTCAAATGTACTTAGAAAATAATCATTTGCATAAGATATGTTGAAAATAGACACAACAGCCAGAGCAATCAAGTCTCCGAATGAAGTACTAGATGATCTGGTCAATTCAGGAGGGGTTTGCCATTATTTAGGGGAGAAATTCACTGCTAAATTGTCTCACATATACATGAGAAATACAATACCAATGGAATGTTTAATTACAGTCACCTTCAAAGCTACACGTCTCCTGAAAGAGAACTGTGGCAAAAGGGAAAAAGGAAACACATTCCATTAGGCTAATTCACTCTCTGAGTTTTGTGCATGCATGAGTGCCATGACAGCATGAAAATGATATCTCATGTTGCCAACAATATTACTCACGCATAAGGAAGACTTCAGCACATTCTTAAGAGTCATGATAAAAATATTCCATACTATCCCAAATTGTGCT